CACCTTAGGTGTATGTGGCTGGCGCCTTAGCCGCTTGAGCCACAGGCGCCAAGCCTCTGGTGATCTCTTAATGGAAAAGTCCTTTTTAAATTGAGTCCCCAAAGACTTCCCTATTAATTTTCCCAGTTTAGTAATTTTAAACTACTAAACACTGAAAAGAGAACTCTAAAGTGACGTGTACTCACATTGCTGTCTTGACTTAGATCGCACAAGTATAATAGTAAAAGGAAAAGTGAGGGTCAAAAGCTTGACTTTAGGGCTTTTGCAGGGGACGCTAAGACTGAGGAAGAACAGTTCTAAGTCTGGGAGGCCGCCTAGTGGGCAACCTGGACCAAACCCAACGCCAGCTGGGTAGTCCCTATTTCTCAGTTCACCTGTCCCGGAGGGTCCTTTCTTGAGTTCTTTCCCCGCGTCAGTTTCACGCTCTCCCCGCGGCCCCTCCACACCAGGCGGGGATTTCCTCCCTCACGCTCTCAGCTGGGCATCTAGTCACTCTACTTATGTATTTGGTCCTCTGATCAATGCTTGGTTACCAAGGACGTAAGTTTCCGTCCCACAGAAGTAGAGCCACCTACTGCAAGCACCTGCGCGAAGATCAGGACTCGCCGCGGTCACGTTGAGCAGTAAACTTTGCAGGGTTAACCCGAGCGCTGCTTGCCGGGAAATGTAGTACCCGCGCTGGCCTCTATTTTAGCTGCCGGGTCCGGCGGCAGCCGGAAGACTACAGTTCCCAGCATGCACTGGGCCAGACAAGATGACCCGGGTCCTGGGCTCCACGTGACCGCCCACTATGGCTTCCCTGTGTCTGGGGCAGCTGTCTGGTGGTTCGGTGTGATTTGTCAGCTCTTTGCAGCGGCGTACCCCTCTCACGATTTCGACATGCAAAAAATAAAATCTCTTATGACCCGCCAGGTAAGTCGCGGCGGCTGAAGCAAAGTCCTCTTTCGTCTAGGCTGGGAGAGGAGCCAATATATGCTGTCCACAGGCCACTGCGGGGGGAGACCTAAGTTATTGGTGGTGGCAGGTGTCAGGAGGACAGGGAACCCGGGGCACACCCTAGAAAATTACTTGAGCATCCTGGATAGGACCCCTCCTCAAGAGGGTGTCAGCCTTGCAGAAACATAGATCGTTGAGGGAGTCAGAAGCTCTCTTTGTCTCCCTTCCTCCCCTTTATGCCATCTTTCCAAGACAGTCCCATCTGCTTTGAAGGGCCCCCGCATCCAGGCTGGCTGTCATCTGTGAGCAGGTGCCCTGGTAGAAAGGAGTGGTCTGTGCAATAGCGATGACTTGGAAAGAGTGAAAAGAGCAGATGATCTGAAGATAGAATCGGTAGCTTTGTGATTTGGGGCAAGTCCTCAAGCCTTTTAGCTTAAGTTCCTATGAAAATGAAAATAATAACTATTTTTGGTCATTATGTCTCACAGTTGTGAGAGTTATCAATAAGCAACTACATGTGAAAACTCTTCGTGAAATGCTGCTTTTAAAAAATTCTTCTTGTCATATCAAAGTAATAATGTTTTATTTGTTGCCAGAGTGCTAGTTCGTGAATAAAAGCTTTGGTTGTTTCTTAACCTGTTCTCATAAACGTTAGGGACTTCCTAATAATGCCTCAGCTTCCTTCAAGCAAGAAGCAGCAGAAATTTCCTTTTTATGTACTTGTTGATAATGATGTAGTTTTAGATAACTTTGTTTACCTCAATTCTAATATTTTCCTAGAATTGGCCCTTCCTTATTACTTTTATATAAAAGAAACATAATTTAGATTAAACATTTAAATTAATATGGCTTTAAGAAGTTTAGAGAATGTGGAGGATAGGAAAGGTTCATTTGTGATTTTTTTTCTTGTTTATTAAAACAAATTCAAACCCTAAATTCTTATTTGAGAATTCAAAACTTGGGAGAGATCTAAACAGGTACAAATTACATACTTCTGTTGGAAAACACACAAATATTCCTATGTGCTGTTTTACTTCTGTCAAATTATAGTGTAAAAATAGAATTAAAATATCCTGTGACTATATTTAAGCAAGTGGATGGTAACATTGGACAATCTCTCACATTGGCTGAGGGCTAGTTTTATACTTCCTAGTACTTCATACTTTAGATTGGGTTTGGGCCCTGCTCCATCTTGTGGTAGCTGTGTGACTCTGGGCAAGTTACACAGCATTTAAAAAAGGAGTAATGTGCAGCCTGATGATATTTATATGATATAATGAAGTTGAAGAGAGGAAATAAAGGCATTAACACAGTTCCTGAGCATTATCAAGGACATTGCCTTGACTACATTGATGGTGGGAAAACAGAAACTGGAGAAATCTGTTACAGTAATTCAAGTAATAGATAATTTCATGCTGACTTTGCTATCTGTTGGATTTTAAAACAATATGTACTTTTGTGTATTATTCTATTAATACCCCTGCAATGCTTTTGGAATGCTGAATTTGGACTCTTCACGTCCTTTTGGGTTTGTTACACAATTTAGTCTTCTCAACATTCTCATGGTTGTACAGCCTCTGTGGTTGGTTTTCTGACCTTATTTTGTAAAAATGAATAAGAGAGAAAAAAAATACAAAATTCTGGATACTATTTATGTCTCTTAAATGTAATGAAATTGTGCTGGCAGTGGTAACCCTTTGATCTCAATCAGTTGTTTATTGAATTTGAGCAGGTCAAATCTGTGTTTCAGCAGAATGGAAAAAAGAAAAGTTGCAACCACAAAATATAAAATATTATCCTAATCATACATATGCTCGTTGCTTGATCTCTACATATTTGGTTATTATTAATGCAGTTTTTGAATCTACAAGTTATAAAAATAGGGTGCTATTTTAGAGGAGTTTTAATTACTACTATTTGTTATTGATTTAAGTGTAATAGGATTACAAATAAATATACACAAAGATGTTTCTTCTTTTGAGGTTACATACTACGCTAATAATATACGTTGAATTAATGTAGAGACATATAAGGTTAAAGTATGAAATTTAGTTTTTTGGCATTTCAGCTGTCCTAGGATCTTGGTTTGCAAGAGAATGTGTGTGCTGGGGGTGGGGGACAAGGGGGAGACTATGTTTGCTTTCTTTATTTAGATGAGATCTTGTTCCCCTTTCTCCATTATGCTGCCTCTGTTCTTTTAGTCCATTCAGTCGATGTTTATTGAGCACTATGTGCCTGGCACTGTTGTAAGCTTGGGGATGCAACAGCGAGAGACAAGTACTAAGGGTGACAGAGTGGTAAATGCTTTAGCGGAAAACAGGATGGACAGTCCTGGGAGTTGTTGATAATTGGGGTCACTTACAATTTCAGACAGAGTGGACACGGAAGGCTTTACTGAGGAGATAATAAAAAAGACCCGAAGGACTAGTGAGGAAGTGAACCACGTGGATATCTGAGAAGGAGCATTTCCAGTGGAAGGAAAAGCAAATGCAGGACCCCTGAGGCAGGAACATGTTTGAGGAACTGCAAGGGGACAGTGTGATGGAGTGAAGGGAGTGAGGAGAAAAGTAGTAGGAGATGAGTCAGGATGAGGTCAGAGGCCCAAGGGCAGGAAACTAGGTCTGGTAGAACCTTGGCGGTCAAGGAAGGCCATGGCTTTTATTCTCAGTGAAATGCTAAGTAGAGGAATGATATAATCTGATGTAACACTTCAGAAAGTTCATTCTGACCTACGTGATTAGAGTAAATTGAGTAGGAGAAAATGGCGAAAACTGGGAGGACACTAAGGAGGCTATTGCAGTAATGCAGGTGGAAGAGGGCGTGGGCCTTAACCAGGCTGCTAGTGATGGAAGTGTTGAGAAGAGGGTGGATGTCTTATGAATGTAGAGTCCACAGGTTTCCTGATGGATTGGATTTGAGCTGTGAAGGAAAGAGAAGTATCAAGGACAACTCCAAATGGTGTGGGCCAGGCAATTGGAAGCCACTTACTAAGGGGGATAAAACTGAAGGAGAGACAGGTTGAGGGAAGGGAGACAATTTTTAGGCCTGTAAGTTTAAAAGCTTTTTAGATCCTTAAGTGGAGAGGGAAAGTTATACTTAAGGAGTTGACCAGATGAGTTTGGATTTATGGGGAGAAACCCAGCGTATAGGGAAAACTTTTGAGAGTTTATAATACAAACATTATATTATAAATTGCATATTAAACTGGTTAATATCACCAGTAAGTAAGTGTGGATATACAGAGTTCAATGTTGGAACTTCTCAAAATTCAGTGTTAGAAGGTCAGGGGAAGAATTGAATACAGCACAGCAGAATGAAAAGGAGCAGCCAGTAAGATAAAAAGTCGTCAGCGTCTGGAATAGCACCTGGCATATAGCAGATGCTCAATACATATTTGTTGAGTTAATAAAGAGAACAGCCAAGAGAGTGTCTCCTAGAAGCCGAGGATTTAAAAGAGTTTTGTTAGATACTGTAGATTGGCCAAGATAAGAATTATAATGAGCCTTTGGACAGAGAAGCTTGGAGTCCCTTGGTGACCTGACAGTGGTAATTTTCATGAAGTAGAATTTTCATAGAAGGGAGGAAAGCCACTTATGGTAGGTTCAAAAGAAAATAAGGGGAAGAATGTCAGGGAGTGGATGTAAACTCTTCTGAGTTTTGCTGAAATCAGAAGGACAGACAAATTATCACAGATGTTTCTTTGGATTGACAGGACATAGTTGCTATTTTCACAAATGGATTCGAGAAGACTATAGTACTCCAAAGTGTTAATCTGATGTGGGAAAAGAAATAGAGTGCAGAGGCAGGTGTTATTTATGCTGAATTTTGTATAAATTTAAACTGGGGCAATTAAACAAAAATCAAATACAAAAGAAAATCAAATAATGGTTAATGAGTACAAGTAAAATATCAGTTTAAAAAAGGCAGAGTACTACAGTTATAACCACAGCTTCATGCTTTGAAAGATGAAGATAAAAATGACTTCACATTTTTTTAGTAGAAATTTATAAACTTAATAAAGGGTTAAAGATCTGTAACCCTAAAGTGCAGTTGGGGGACAGATATTGTCTTTGAGATCTTTATGTAATTCTTCATTTTTGTTTTGATGAGAGAAAAACATTTCTCTGTGACAATAAAAATATTAACAGTAATGGTAATAGTTAACATTTTTTTTTTTTTTTTT